GGGTGACAATATACAGCCTTGACGTACTCCTCTTCCGATTTGGAACCAGTCTGTTGGTCCACGTCCAATTCTAACTGTTGCTTTTTGACGCTACCTCTTAATCCTGCTCCTCCATTTGTACCCGCCCACGTAGTTACTTCCTGGCCTCTGTAATTGTATCCCTCCCCCCATCAAGGTGTTCCTCTTTCCAGACAGGGAAAAGTAGCAAAATGAGGCTCCAAGCTAATAAGTAGGAGTCACCTCCTCAAACCACAGAAGCAGTTTTTGAGCTTGTTGCTTATTCCAGGACTACCTCCTCTTTGTAAAATTCAGCCACCAATCCGCCATCTCTGCCACCACAATCCATCATCATCTCTTGTGTGGACTGAGCCTCAGCTTTCTAACTGGTTCCCAGTTTGAAAACTTCTACCTGACTCCATTCCACAGTGGAGAGAGCTTTCCAACACAGGTGTGATCATGACACTCCAATGTTTAAAACCTGATAAGAATGTCCTATTGTCTTAGGTTAGGCAATGTCCAAACTTCTCCACCTCTTACCAGGTCCTCCAGCACCTGAGCCTTGCATACATCTATAGTCTCATCTTCACTAGTTTTCATCTTTATTCATCCTTCCGGCCATGCCAAATGTTTCCCACACTCTCTGCCATGCCTGGGCATTTGTTCATACTTGTCCGTCTCCTTGGAATATTCTCTGCTCCTCCAATTTCCCAATACCCCACCAACCAGGTTAACTTATTAATGAGCATTTGGATTTCAGCTTGAACATCACATCCTCAGTCCTAGAAGGCTCAACAATTTAGGATCCCTCAATCTCTGCTCTCTTATCGCTCTTCCCCTTTCAAAACAGTCAGTGTGCTCACTGTAATTACATGCCGAGGGACTTCCCTTCCAGACCAGGGGTCAGCAAGCAATGACCCACAAGCCAAATCTGGACCTCCACCTGTTTTTGTAAATAAAGTTCCACTGGAACACAGCCATGCTCATTCATCTATGTACTGTCTATGGTTTCTTTCGGCTAAGATGGCAGAGTTGAATAGTTGCAAAAGGAATCATAAAATGTTGGCTACCTGCCCTGTTACAAAAAATTTTGCCAACACCTGTGCTAGACTATAAGCTCCATGACTGCAGACACTGGGTCTGTCTTGAATATCAGCATGTCCTTAGTACCTAATGTAGTACCTAGTGGTTAGTAAGTATTCAGTAAGTATTCACCAAATGAGAGATAAAGAATAACTAAAGTGGGTGTGGAATCAAGCAAGGGTTCTATTGCCTGCAGTGCAGAAAGGCAAACTCTGACACCACTATTTGTAGCAAAGTCAGGGTTTGTTTGCAGGACCACAAGCAAAGGAGTATGAGACAAGCCTCAGGCTCAGTCCAACTCCATCTTTGAATTAGGATTTTTTTTTTTTAAGGGAAAGAACTAACAGGCTGGGATTAATCATTATCCTGTGACTTTTCCACGGCATTTCTTAATCATGGTCTCTGGAGTCAGAATATCTCTGGTTTACAGGCTATCTCAGGTCAGGTGTTCCACAGACGTGAGGGTCTATTAGTTCAACTTACCCTGGAGAAGCAACCTGAGTTTGTACATTAATGATGATTTCTATCTTAGCACAGTTAGTACATGACCAATGTTATTGACAGCAGTAGTTTTAGCCCTCTGACTCCAGTAGTTTAGCGTTCGTTAGCAAAGGATTGAGGTCAGAAGGGATGAGAAAGGGAATGGAGTTGTGAATAGAGAGATGAACAGTAAAGAAACTTGGTTTTCAGAGGGACTGGGCTTTAGGTATGTTCAGGACTTGGTGGAAACCATGAGGATTCTTGCTCTGCCTTATCCCAAGAAGAACATTCATCAAACAGAGCAGGGAAGTACAGGGCTTGTGGAGACCCTGATTCCTGCTGTGGTTCAAAACCATTTCAGATTGATTGGAGCCTGAGGGAGGTTGTGGCTTTCTCTCTTCCAAAATCGACTCCTGTACCCACCTCGCACCCACCCCTTCCTGAAGCCTACCGATCAGTTCAGCATCTTTAATCGCATCTTCTGAGGCTTTTTCCATTCAGGGCTTGGCTCACTGTAGGTATTGGATAAATCTGTGTTGCATGAACGGAAAAGTTTATGGTGGCTTTCCAGTGGTCCTCACGTCCAGGCCCAGATCCTCTTCTTGATTCCGCACCTTCTCCATGAAGATTTGTCCATCTAAACCAAACCACTTCCGGGAGCACGTGGTGTCTACTTCTTAGGAAACTGAGTGGATCTAGTGGCAGAGAATGGAAAACGAGCTTCCAAGCTAGGTAGGGAGGAAATTCGTCCATACCAATTGGCCTCAAGCCAAACACACAGTTTTGGGTTTGCTGTTGCTTTGTTCTTGTTCATTCGCTAAGTCGTGTCAGATTCTTTGTGACCTGATGGACTGCTTGTTGCTTACTCTAGTGATGTTTCAGAGCTGTGGAAGGCAAACAGGACACAAGAAAAGGGAACAGGGAAGTCTGTTACTAGAATGATCACTTCTTGAGCGTGCATGCATGCTAAGTCTCACAGTCGTGTCCGACTCTTTGTGACCCTATGGGCTGTAGCCCCAGGCTCCTCTGTCCATGGGATTCTCCAAGCAAGAATGCTGGAGTGGGTTGCCATGCCCTCCTCCAGGGGATCTTCCTCACCCAGGGATCTAACCTGTGCCTCTTACATCTCCTGCATTGGCAGGTGAGTTCTTTACCAACTAGCGCCACCTGGGAAGCCCTCTGTGTGCTGATAGCACTGCTCAAGAAGATATTAGGGACTTCCCTGGTGGTCCAGTGTTTGGGACTTTACCTTCCAATGCAGGATGCTGGGTTCAATCCCTGGTCTAGGAGCTAAGATCCCAGGTGCCTCTCCACTGAAAAACCAAAACATAAAACAGAAGCAACACTGTAACAGATTCAATAAACACTTTTTTAAAAAGGTCCATATCAAATATATACATATATATGTATATGTATATGTATATGTATATATATATAAATGTTAAATGAATTTCTGTTTGGTTTTTTAAAAATAAAACTTGAAAGTAATCTTATCTCAAACCATGCATTCATCAGAATACCAGCATTTATCAAGGAACTACAAATTCTCCAGGCATCTCCGGGATCCTGGGAAGCCAGGTGGAGCCTTGTGGGTCTCCTTTTTCTGTAGGATTTTCCCCTCTTCTCTGGCATCAGCCTTCCCTCTCTTCCCATGGGTAGCAGCTCTTTGTTTTGAGAGCCTAGTGGGGTTTGAGTTTTGGACTGAGAGGCATTTGGTGGGTGGTCAGGCTTGGCTCCCCTCTGCCTGCCATAAGTCCTCTCTGGGGCCTGGAAGCAGTGGGCTGGCTTCCTAGGGCTCTGATGGCAGAGGCTATGGCTGTCAGAGATTTGCTTCCTGTCTTCTCTTTTTCACACTGATGCTGCCACCCTGATGGTTAATCTGATCCTGCTCTGAGCCGGTGCTTCCCAGGTAGCGCAGTGGTTAAGAGTCTGCCTGCCAGGGCAGGAAACATAAGTTCGGTCCCTGGGTCAGAAAGATCCTCTGGAATAGGAAATGGCAACCCACCCCAGTATTCTTGCCTGGAGAACCCCATGGACAGAGGAGCCTGGTGGGCTACAGTCCATGGGGTCACAAAGAGTCGGACATGACCGAAGGATAAACAACAGCAACAATGCTGTTATGAGCAAGACAACAGAAGAGGATTGCTACAACTTCCTCTTGTGTCCTTTCCTTCTTCCCTTCAGAGACCAGAAGCTGGTGGAGAAGAGTCTTTCAAGTCTTTAAAGCTGGATTCAGATTTGCCCAAAGTCTGCCAGGGAGGGATGCGCTTCTGTGTCTGGCTCCTGCCTCTCCCACAGACAGTGGCTGTTGGGGCATTCAAGGTACCTAAGGTGATGCTCTGGTACCTAAACCAATGGCTTTGTCCAAGCCTCGCCTTTGTTCCCAAGACGACTCATGACTGGTTGCCTTACAGTTTTGTGGGGTTTGGGGCTGTGCTGAGTCTTCGTTGCTGTGCACAGTCTCTCTCGAGCTGCAGTGAGCAGCAGCTACTCTCCCTTGCAATGCCGGGGCTTCTCATGGTTGGTTCTAGTTGCAGTATGCAGGCTTTGTGGTTGTGACTCATCGGCTTAGTTGCTCCAAGGCGTGTGGGACCTTCCTGGACTGGGGCTTGAACCCATGTCCCTCACCTTGGCAGGTGGATTCTTATCCACAGTGCCACCAGGGAAGTCCCTGCCTTATGATTTTTTGATGCATAGATCACAGAGGTTTCTAATAGGGAAGAAAATTTTCCTGGGTGAGCAAAGGCCAGGGAAATGGCCCTGGATTCTGATCTCTGCAGTGAGTTCAGAAAGAAGCATTGACTCGTGATTGCCTGCACCAGCACATGCCCTGGTCTCCAAGGCTGTGCATCTTGGTGTAGTGAGTTCTGCTCTGGGCAGAACCTCCGTCTCATCTTCCCTTTCAGTACCCTGGAGTCATCTTCCAACCAGTCATCCAGGACTCCCCTTGGCTTTTCCATCTCAAACCCCCACCACCCCACCCCCCTCCCGCCACCCCACCAATGATGATCAGTCTCCTCCCTGATGTTATCATCCGCAGGAAATCAAAACACCATGTGTGTGAACATAAAATCCTGTCATTTATTTATGCTACAGACTTCAGGAAGGAAAAAAGAAAATCATAGCTCTCTTTTCATTAAAAAAAAAAAAAAAGAATTGGCACAATGTTCAAGCTTTGGTGGCCTGAAATCAGCCTGTTATTAACAGCCAGGAAATGCCTGACCCCAGAGGTCCTCACTGCTATTATAAACTGTGAATATTGTAAAAATGGAAATAAAAAATAAAGTAATTACCTCTTCACGGGTTAAAAGAGTTAAGTTGAATGGCCCGTTGCCATGGAGATGACTTCCTGTTTACTGGGCTGGTCTTCTCTCTTAGTTAAAGACCAGTCATCAGCCAATGAGAAAACAGCATTTAACAACCCATATTCCATTAACATTTGTCATAGTAACTCAATGCAGTCTATAATTTACCAGTCAGTAAAATTTGGTAAGTTGTATTTTCAGATGTATTCATGGTTTTTAATTTTTATTCTTTGTATGAAATTATTACCATGGCCAAGAGCACTACTTTTTATCATCTGAGAGGGGGAGAAGTCTATATTTGAAATATCCTAGTTCCCCCTTTTAAAAGCATGATACTCTCTTAATACTTCAGCACAAGAATTCTAATGATGAGAGCTTTTCATCCCATTTTTTTAAGGATGGCTGTTTGGTATCGGTAGTAATATTCCTCATAGTATTCACTGTAACAAAGAACCAAAACGACCATTCTTATTAGCTATCAGTTCTTTGGGCTTTTAACTTCAAAGATCCCAGGATTCTGAAATAAACTACTTGGAGCGTGATAACAAATACAGTTGTTTGAAAACTAAGGAATTATTTGCCAAAATGTAAAAATAAAACCCAGTAAAAAGGTATCAAGTAACTCTTAGGAGATAGAACCGCAGATTTGAGCAACAGAGTCTTGAGAAGAAAGATGTCTTGACTTGTTGGAAGTTCTCGGCCCCATGGAAATACAAAGCGTGGAGATAAAAGGGAAGGAACTGTATACTTTCTCTTGAACTTGGGGTTGATAGGAAGGCAGCTTGAAGTGGTTTGCCCAGAAGATTCAGTGCTCGTGTTATATAGCTGGCCCCAAACCACAGCTCTGGGAACACCGCCCTCCATGTCTCTTTCTGACGGCCCCGCCTGTGCCTCTGACAAAACCCAGAGATTTTCCATCATTCCCCTCCACGCCCAGCTGGTCCCAGCCCTCTCCTGACCTCTCCTTCCTGCCCCTCCTCTGCCATCCACCTGGCCTTTGCAGCTGCCCCTCTGCCACACCTGTGGCTCCCAGACCCACCCCGCCTGCAGACACAAAATATTGGCCACAGAATGAAACAGAAACAGCTCATGGAAGGATCTGCAGTATGACTAAACTTTGTCTCCAGTAATTACAGTCATGTTTTTTCAATTTTAAAAGAGCATTTAGCAATAGATATGTGTTCAACATGGAACCTCTTTGCAGGGCAGGAAGGCAGGATTAGAGATGCAGGTGTAGAGAATGGACATGTGGGCACAGGGTGGGAGGGGTGGGGTGGGATGAGCTGGGAGCTTAGGACCGACGTGTATACACGACACACGTAAGACAGGTAACGAGCGGGAAGCTGCTGTGCCACACAGGGGACTCTGCCTGGTGCTCTCTGATGGCCTAGAGGATGGGATGGTGGGAGGGAGACTCAAGGGGAGGGGACATATATATACATGTGGCTGATTCAGCTTGTTCAATAGCAGAAACTATCACCACATTGTAAAGCAATTATCCTTCAATTTTAAAAAAATGAAATTGTGGCATTTTAAAGGACCACTCCGGGTCCTCCCCAGGCTCTCACACAATATGGGGGGGGGGGGGGTCCTATAGTTATCTGTGTACTTGTTTAGTTCTTCCTCCAATGATAGTGACACCTTGAAGGTAGCAATCCTGTTTTATTGACTTGTATCACTCAGCATCTTGGGCAGAGTAGAATTACTCATTGATGAAAGGAATACTTAGCATCTAAACAAGGTCAAGGAGCGTATTTTGCATGCTAACATTCGCTGCATCCTATTCTCTTTGTTCTAAGCCTCCTTAGTACTGTGTGTTTGTCAAAATGCTTGAAGTACATGTTTTGTGGGTTGTACTAGACTTGGAAGATGAGTACAAAAGGAGATGTGCTATCTCATCAGGAAGTCTGAAAAACTGTCTGAAAAACCCTAAACAAAAGGCAAAATGGGCTTTGCTTTTGTTTTGAAAGAGATGAAATGGAGTTTGGGCAAAAAAGCAATGCAATGCTGTTGAACTGAGATGGACCAGCAATAGTGGGGGGCTGACCTTTGTCAAATCCATTGGAACTTGTATATTCAAATGACGGGCATCCTCTTTAGAGTTGTAGGATTTGGGGACTGTGTATGTCTGAGGTATAGGTAGGTATTTTTAAAGTCAACCTCTGACACTATGGCTATAAAATACACACAATTCTATTATATGATTTGTAGAATGAAACTCAGTCCATTGTTAAATGCTAATCCTACCTTTCTTAATGTGAAATAAATATTGACATTTTTGTCAGTATTGCCAGTTATGGAGTAAAAGGATTCCTCACCTTGATTGGCAGGTGCAGGGAGGGATCTTGGTTTCTTCACTTTGGGAAGGTTGGAGGGGAAGGAATGAAGTGCCCTATGGGATGGCCATGGTGGTGACTTTGGGGTCAAAAGTGGACACTCTGCTCTGGAGGTCAGGGACTGAGATGGTGAGCAGAAAGATCAGATGGCATGAGAAGTGAGTGTTATCTGCTCAGTCGTGTCCAACTCTTTGTGACCCCGTAGACTGTAGCCCCCAGGCCCCTCTTGTCCATGGGATTCTCCAGGCAAGAATACTGAAGTGGGTTGCCATGCCCTTCTCCAGGGGATCTTCCCAAACTAGGGATTGAACCTGTCTCTTATGTCTCCTGAACTGGCAGGCAGGTTCTTTACCACTAGCAAGGCCTTATTCTAGAAACAGAACCTTGGCTATTGATACCATCAGCTCCTGTTACTTTGAGAGTCTAAGGATGATCCACATTGATGCCCCAGAATTTATAATTAGGAGTCACCATTTTATTCATCACTTCACATGGTCATTTCCATTTCCATCTGATTTGATTCTTTGCCTTAGCCTTGGCCAAGCCTTTTGGGAAGCCTTTGCCTTAACAGTTCATATTATTCATCTGTCTTCTGCAAGTTACATAAAGAGTATTGAAAAATAATGAACTTCTGCCTTCTGAGAGAGGAAGGAGCTAGAAGATTTCCATTGTATTCTTCGAAAAAGGAGGTGAGGCACAACATCCTTATCTGTCTGACAAGTGCCGAGCTTGCAGTGATAGGTGATGTTAACAGAAAGGTCAGAGACCTCTGTCTCTGAAGAGACAGATCACACAAGCAACGGTGTTTCATGAAATTTCAGTTTCCAGTCTCTAGATGCTATATGGTCAAACACTGCAAAAAGAAAACTGATAATGGCATGCATAAGGTGTGGTTTTTTTTTCTATATCTAGGTTTGACACTAGTCATCTCTCCTGATTCACACAGAAACTCTGAGGCAACCGTGGGATGCATTTAATACACTGGGTGTTGAGCTTAATCTGACACACAGAATTAACGGCAAGTCACGTTGTCATCACTGTCATCATCACCAAAGTCTCAGGGAGTGCCTCTGACCCCAGGCCAAGCACATGGTGGAAGGGTCTCTTCAACTGCTTCAAACCTCCCCAGGGGTTTCTCAGGGTACCCACCCTTCCACTGCACCCCACCAAGTTACTCTCTCTCCTTAGCAAATGGCTCAGCATAGCACCACCCAGAAGAAATATAATGTGAACCACAAACATAGACAACTGTTTTTATTAAACTTTTTTTGGTGAAGCAGAATGTGGGAACTTGGTTCCCCGACCTGGGATTGAACTGGTGCCCCATGTATTAGAAGCAAGGAATCTTAACCACTGGACCACCACCAGAGAAGTCCCCAAACATACAAAGTTTTAAATTTATTTTATAAATGTTGAATCACCATGCTATACACCTAAAATGAATATAATGTTACAGGTCAGCTATACTTCAATTAAAAAAACACACGCACACATGAAAAATTATGTGGGAAAATGACTATTTACACCAGGTTCTAAGCCCATTCCCACTACCTTAAAAAAATAGTAAAAGAAAGAAATTACTTTTAAACAACAAAAGCAAAAGAAGTGATATTAATTTTACTAATAGACTTTATTTAACCCATTATATTCAAATATTATAATGTCAACATATAATCAGTATACAAGATTGAGACTTTGCATTTTTTCTTCTTTCACACAAAGCCTTCGAGATCCTGTGTGTGATTTGCACTTTGAGGACATCTCCAGTTGCAGGAGTCACATTTCAAGAATTCAGTAACCACACATGGCTCGTGGCTCCATATTGGACCACACAGATATAACCATTCCACTAGTCATTCTCATGGGAGACTGATACGTGGTTTTTAAGAGCTTAACCAGCTTGTTCATCCCCGAGGTTTCTCTTGAAAGTTCTTCTGTGACCCCCTGCCTTCCAATCAGCTCCCAGGGCTCTTAACCCCAGGACAACTTCGCATCAGCTTTCTGGGCTCTACCTCTAGAGGGCAAGTTGTCCCGTGAGCCCTCTAGTGACTGCTGTCAGAATGCACAAGACTGTGCAAAAACAGCTCTTCTGGAAGTTTCTGAAAGGAAACCACTTAAGTAACATTCCAAAAAAGTTAGACTCCTATTCACCCTATAAACTGAGGCTTCTATTAGAGATTATCAAATCACTGTGTTGTCCACCTGAAACTAATATAATACTGTAAGTCAACTATACTTCAATAAATATTCATCGTAAAGTTGTGCTAAGTTGCTTCAGTTGTGTCTGACTCTGTGCAGCACTATGAAGCTGCCAGGCTCTTCTGTCCATGGGATTCTCCAGGCAAGAATTGGAGTGGGTTTCCATGCCCTCCTTCAGGGGATCCTTCCAAGCCAGGGATCAAACCCAGGTCTCCCACACTGCAGGCGGGTTCTTTACCATCTGAGCCGGCAGGGAAGCCCGTCTCATAATAACAATCCTATCTCAATAACTGTTAGCTGTTACTTTGCTGTCACTACCACTGTCTTAGTTTTGCTGCCCTTGCTACCCACCTTATAACCAAAGGGCTAATGAGGAACCTGGATGGAACACAGTGGATTTGTGACCACCCAGATCTGGATTCAAATACTGTCTCTGTTACGTTCAATGTGTAACCTTTGTTAAATCACTTACACACTCTGATTCTCAGTTTTCTCAACTAGGCAATGGCGTTAAGAACATCCAAGCTGAAGAGTTTGGGGGAAGATGAGTAATACCTGAGATAAAACACACAGTACCTAGTAAATGTTCAAAATGATCACCATCCTTATGACCTTCTAGGTGAGCACTTCTGATAAAATGATTCAGTAAGGGAGGGTGCCATATTATTGACTAACAGTTTCAGTTATCAACTGATTTTATTTATCTGTGGCAATGCTGACTGCATCAACATGTCAACACAGAAGCATTCATTTTGAAGAATTTTCATTGTTATAAATGTGTGCTTTTTTATTTTTAGTTTGTATTCCAAATTGCGGCACTGGCACACTCTTGTATTGCTGTTGTTGTTCAGTAGCTCAGTCGTGTCCGACTCTTTGCGACCCCATGGACTGCAGCACACCAGGCTTCCCTGTCCCTCACCACCTCCTGGAGTTTGCTCAAACTCGTGTCCATCAAGAGGGTGATGCCATCTAACCATCTCATCCTCTGTCATCCCCTTCTCCTCCTGCCTTCAATCTTTCCCAGCATTAGGGTCTTTTCCAATGAGTTGGCTCTTTGCATCAGGTGGCCAAAGTATTGGAGCTTTGCATTAATAAAAAGAAAAAAAAACAAACCTCAAAACACAAGTAGATGTAAATATTTCTAACAATCAGAATGCACAATGCCCAGTATAAATGGTTATAATGGGCTGAAGACAGGGTCCATTAACAACAATTTGACTTGACTTACTGATGAGTCACATTTTCCCACTCAGAGCTCTTATTTGGTTATTTTGGGAATTAGGGACAAATCACCACCCCCACCAAACACACACACACATACACACACACACACACACACTCACACACACTGTACTGGGTATAATGAATCACCTCTCTGGTTGGTGGGCAAGTCTTAAACACCCACCGTCTTCACTGGCTACACATTCACTGCTTTTCTTACCCATCACCTTAAAAAGACAGGGTGATCCATTGCACTCCCCCTCTTGGAACAAAAACTCAGGAGGCACTGCAGGAAAATGAGGTGAGCTTGCAGGCCCAGTAGGTTTAGAGAAGCTCGAACAATTTTATACTATGGTTCAAAGTACTTTTTATTTTCAGAGACAGTTGGTCTTTGAAAAGTTACAAATATATATTTAAACGATTGATTATCGCTGTTAAGAAAAGAGTTTTCCCCCAGGAGCTACAAATATGCTCATCAATAATCCAAAGTAAGCAAATGTGAAGACCCAAAGATGGAACCACACGAAGAGAAAAGACATCAGAGATGCATTAGATAGAGCAAATGATACCCTACATTTGGGAGTCTTGATAAGGTTTTCTTTCAAAGATTTTTCTTGAAGAAAAAACATTAAAATAAAAAAAATCTTAAAATAAGAAAATATCTTCTTTTAAGAGTATGTCATCACATAAGACAAGAATAGTTGGGGCATGCTCTGCTTTCCTGGAACAAGTTGTAAATTGGCGGTAAGGAATAAGCTGACCCCATCGTATTTGGGGCTAGATAAATGTTCCAGTTTTATTTTCCAATGTTTGGGTTTTTATAAACCAAAACACGTTTTGCCCTAAGCTCTGGATTTTACCAAGTCATGTGTATTTGAAGGGAAATTGAATCCATATGTGTCTAATCTATTTACACTTAAGTCATTAAAATGTTGTTTTGTAAGATTATTTAGGTGACCAGGAAACCTTCTGAGCATTGTCAGAACTCTGCTTCTCACACCACAGCAGTCCTCCTTCTACAAAGAGGTCACATTTGCCCACAGGCCCTAGAACCTGACCTTATTATACACCCATAAACCAGATCCCTGAAACAATTCCAATTTAATGAGTTGATACCACATGACTTCCCAATTCCAAGAAAGGAAATAAGCTTGTATGTATGCTACCAAAAAAACAAATGACTCCAAAGGCCCTTAGATAGCAACAACTGTGTCTTGCCCAATATTGGAATAAGATAACTAGAGACGAATGAGGAATAAAGATACACTCAACAGACACAAAATAGGAGGATAACTGAAGGCTTGAAATAGACACAAAATAGTGCTTGGGATTATCAGAAATATTAAAGGATGGGAGGATAAAGAAGTACTACCCAGTAAACCACATAGTAAGTCATGTACCTAAAGTGAAGGGCATGTACCCACATGTTCCTACAATGAGAGTTCTCAAAAATCCCAATTGTAGGGGGAGAGAAACCTAGGCAGGTTATTCCATTACACTTTGCACAGATGATATTTTATGCAGGGCTGATGTGGAAGTAAATAACAGTCATTAATGTCAAGGTACACTGCAAAGACTTGCACAGCTTCCTGTTAGAAACTCTGTTGGACACACGTGATAGGAATCCATCACCTTGACCATGTCAAGGCAAAAGAAGGGGTCAGCTCATGTTTTGCATATTTCAGTGAAACTATCGCTTCAAGGAAGACTGAGTTCAATTCCAATTCAATATAACACATTATAAAAATTAAAATCAACTGTAATGTTTGCAGACTTCCAACAAAGAGAATTTTATTAAAGCTCTTGGTAAAATACACCAAGCTTAATGAGAACAATCACAAAGGGAGTTTTTGTCTTCTAATGGATGTGACAACTGGTAAGATTGGCCAGGGTCTCTCTGAATGCATGCTAGAGTCAGATGAGACATATACACAGAGAGCTTGGCTCATGGGCAGACTCAGAAATAGTGGCTGGATTATAGAGTGATGTCTAGTTTTCATGCAGTTGCCCTTTTCTGATTATCAGCAAGACATTCAGTGCTAAACATGTGTTTAGAGAGAGCAGTAGGTAAAGGGTTAACACACACACGTTCTTGATCACGTTGTCATTTCCTCAGCACATCAGAAACCATATTTTAGCTCATTGCATCCTGGGACAAAAATGCTTGTGTGTGCTAGAGTTAAGCCTTAACTCTCCTCAACACGGACAACAGTCTACATGATGGATAATAACCACATGCCAGGCTTGGAGTAGCTACATTATATATAACTAGCTCTCAAAATAATCCTGTGTGGGAGAGAAAACTAACACATGTTAAATGTCTTTTCCATTGATGGCATGACATAAATGAATGAAATCATTTAATCCACCCCCAAAGCCTGGACTGATGTTTTGAAGCTTGCCTTTTTCACTTTACCAAGTGAAATAAACGTGTCAAATAATCCACAATTTTTTAATGGTTACATGGCATTGCACTGAATAAATGTACCATATCTTATTTAATATGGTTGAACACTTATGAAATTTCTCATGTTATGTTCTTTTGAAAAGTGGAAGTGAAATCATTCAGTTTTGTCCGACTCTTTGCAACCCCATGGACTGTAGCCCACCAAGCTCTTCCAACCATGGGATTCTCCAGGCAAGAGTACTGGAGTGGGTTGCCATTTCCTTCTCCAGGGGATCTTCCCCACCCAGGGATCAAACCCAGGTCTCCACATTGTAGGCAGACGCTTTACCATCTGAGCCACCAGGGAAGTCCTTTTGGATAATGCAAAAAAGAATATCTATTTTAAATAAGCTCTGGTTCACCTCTATAGTAATTTTATCAAACTTATGACTGGAAACAAATTTCTGGGTCCAAAAGTCAGCAAATTTTAAAGAATTTTGATTCATATATCAAATTTCTTTCCTAATATATGGGATCGATTCATGTGGCAGGGATTGATTCCCTGCCCAGAGTATACAAATTCTGTAATAAAATTATGATCTATTTTGGGCCTGGAATTATAACCCTCATTACTACACATTATTACTCATTACCTCATTACTACTCATTATTAAAGAGCTTCCCTGGTAGCTCAGCTGGTAAAGAACCCACCCGCAATGCACGACACCCTGGTTTGATTCCTGGGTCAGGAAGCTCTCCTGGAGAAAGGATAGGCTACCCACTCCAGTATTCTTGGGCTTCCCTTGTGGCTCAGATGGTAAAGAATCCACTTACATTGTGGGAGACCTGGGTTTGAAAGATCCCATGGAGGAGGACATGGAAACCCACTCCAGTATTCTTGCCTGGAGAATCCCCATGGACAGAGGAGCCTGGTGGGCTACAGTCCATGGGGTCCCAAAGAGTTGTACATGACTGAGTGACTAAGCATGACAATGTACTCACTATTAAATGAATTTTTTTCCTCCTTTTAAAAATTATAATTGCCAGAGGCTTCTCTAATTCATTATCTCTTTTTATTTGTTTAACTCATGATTCAGCTCTTATGTGTATTGATTATATTTGTTATTCTTGTTTTCATTTATTTTTTACTTTTATCTCTAAAATTCCCTTTTTCTTTGAGCAAATTTTTTAAAATTTTCAAATAGGAGGACAAAGTGCCTATTTCTTTTTTAATTTTCACTTTATAATGGAACTATGAGGTTGTGATTATGCCCTGATTATTGTTTTCCTCACATCTTACAGGTTGCACTATGTCATAGTTTCATACAGGCTATAATCATAGTTTGATTATCTCTTTGAGTCATAATGGACTTCCCTTGTGGCTCAGCTGGTAAAGAATCTGCCTGCATGTGGGAGACCTGGGTTCAATCCCTGGGTTGGGAAGATCCCCTGGAGAAGGGAAAAGCTACCCACTCCAGTATTCTGGCCTGGAGAATCCCATGGACTCTATAGCCCATGGCGTTGCCGAGTCAGACACAACTGAGTGACTTTCCCTTTCCCTTTCCTTGAGTCAATAATGAATTAGAATAGTAATTTTAAGGTCCAAGCAGCCAGGATGGTTTGTTCGGTTTTGTTATTAATTTCTGGTGTCACTTTTCTGATAATTTGAGAATTGGGTTTATATACCCTATTTCAACTCCTAGAAATTTATTAAACTTTCAGGGCAGCAATTTTCAACCTTTTGTTATTTTTTAACCAATGCAACACTTAAAAAATTAAACCTTCATTGAAGCCCCAACATGTAAAAAAATGAAAAGCAGAACACTTTTAGTTGAACGGAGAACTGAGGGCCTAGAAACCTACTTGTAATTAGGGGCCCTTGGTTTTGACCAAGGTAATCCAAAGAATCTCTTGAAAACCTATGGTTTTGCATAACACAATGTGTCTTAGTATAATCAAGTGATGTATTTCATGGATCCTTGAAAAGAAGGCAAACTATCTTTTCATAGAGATTTATATATTGTGAATCCAAGGTTATCGACAGTAATTCAAAAATTTCTATCCTTATTTTAAATGTCAGAATGTTTATATTAAATGTCAGAATGTTTTTCTAT